ATGGCTGGTACTGCAATGGGTCACTTCTCTGCACTTCATCATTAATATACCATGTAACATCATAGTTATTTGCTCTTCTAAGTTAAAACACAAGGTCTGTGAAGACAGAAAAAATATTGTATTAATCTGATCCCCACAAAATAGTGGAAACAGTAAGTCACAGTATTATCTTTTTTACCTACAATTTTTACATTTTTCCTAAATTAACAGCATTAAACCTTAGCCAAAGATTTTAAAGAAAACTATGTAGAACACTACCTGTCTCCCAAACATTACTAGTGGTGGAGTAAATCTAAAACACAATACAAGGAAGTCAATCAATATTATCTGACACAAACAGATTATACAAGGTGCTAGAGAAGGAAAATAAAACATTGTACTCTGAACATTCCCTATAATGTAGACTCGACTCACACACACACACACACACACACACACACACACACACACACAAAATGGTGATTCTATTCCTAAAACTGAGACACTGGCACCAAAAGACCTACAGGAACTCAAAAAGCTTACATAACAACAAATTTAACTAAAATATTGAGAAGAAATTAAAGAAAGCATACCTTAAAAAGTTAAATATATTATATAAAATGATACAAGTTGAAAAAACAGAATGGAAATAAAATATATTTTAAAAATTAATACCAAAACCCAGTTGAATACTAAGGAAAATATAGTTTATTTAGTTTTGTACAACTAAGAGTAATGACATGAAATTAAAAGGGAAAAATTATTAGGAACTGGACCAAGGAAAATCCTGTGAATAAATGAGATCTATTACTTTTTAGAAGAGTTATGAAAGAAGTCCTGTGTAAACAAGTCTGAAAATTATTTCCACCTACAGATAAAAAATGAAAAGCTGACTATAGCAATCTTTGAAATATCAACTAATCACTCCATTTTTATTGATATTTTACTCCGTATACAAATTTATAGTCAATATCAAAGAAGATGAAAGAGTAGAATGAGACAAAGTCTTCTTTTCATGTACTTGCAGTATGATTTATTTCAAAATATAATGTATTAAAATGAAGTTAATAAAGTCATAGTGTAATATTCATATAATTAAAACTCCAAGTAAAAACTGAAGAACTGAGGAAGTGGACAAATCCATGTAAGGGCTAGAGTAAGGTAGCTAAGATGTGAAGAGAAGGTGAAAATGAGGCAAAGCAGTCTAAAAACACATTCCCCAAGGAGAAGACAGACAGGACAGTAAACAGACAGGTCTGGCAAGCGAAATGGACTGGTAAGCAGTACGAGTTATATAAGGAATATTACAGCAGGCCTGGAAATCTCGCAGAAGAGCCTAGACTTGCAGTGCTTGGAATAAGAGCTCAAGTTAATAAATCGTTCTTTCCAGGCTCCCCTCTTAATAGAGAATAACCAAATCCAAAGAGGTAAGATGACTTTGTGGTCAGGAGTTCAATGGGCCTGGTTCTGACAACCACTATCTCTTTTCTTTTAGAATAATCTTCAGGGCTATTAAGACACAACTGTAAAACTTTTAAACTATAAAAAAATGTAATTTAAAGACCATGATTGTCTTGGTTATAAAGATGAAAAAGTTAAACATACGCTAACTTAAAAATACAAAAATAAAGACAATTGTAATGTACCCCATTTTGTTGTTATTTTATTGTTTCTCAAGCAGCAAGAGAAAAGGAAGAAAACAATACTGAGTGAAGATTTAGCCTTGTTAAAAGTTTTGGTTTATCATACAATGAAATAACACTAGTGCACTTCCCCCAGAAATGAAACATAGGATAGAGTCCTGATTATAAGTACAGGAGAGTAAGCATACATTTAAAAAAAGGTTCCCTCCTGACATTCTTAAACTCATTCTTTTCCCACTGTTCTGTTTCCTGTCTTTGTCCCTGCTAGTGTTTTCAAAGAATGAACCTAACATGGAAGTGGAAAGGAGGGAATAAGTTAAAACTGCTAAATGCTATGATCAGTTTATAGTGATGTTTTTTTCAAACAATTAAGCTGTTTTGGGCACCTGTGCTTACTTTATGCACAAAGTACTTAAATCATCAGTAAATTTAAGCCTTAGGGTGCTGATATTGCTGGCTGTCCTGTTGATCATTTGTAACATTGGCTAAATCACAGCTAGATCATATGTTCCCCGTTCTACTTAAGTAGAGCGTCATGTAAAGTTACTGACATTTTAAATCATCATTTTTTAAAGACCTAGATGATCTCAGTAATCATTACGAAGATTCCATTTCTAGAAATGGAAAATAATCAAACAACAACAATAAAACAATGAAATTAAAACAAATTTGAAAGAAGGTTGAATAAACTGTTTGGTTCAATTGTGCCTTACCAGTAAACTTTCCTTGAAGGCAAAATTTTTACATCTTGTAAATCTTTGTTCACAGTCAAAACTCAGTTCACTAGTCATGACAAGGTAAGCTCACTATAGTGTAAGATATGAAAAAGGCAGTACTGTATTCAAGCAATTTGTAAATTTATATATATAAAACGTTTGTTTAAAGTACAAATTTTACGTGTTACAACTAATACAAGCAAGTTAATGAAAAGCATCCACATAATTACACATAAACTGTGTACACACATTTTCTAATCTAAATATGCAGTATTTACATGAAGGCCCAAGAATAAACCTTAGCCCAATCACAAAACCACAGGGACTTCTCTTTCCACTCTGGCCTTAGAATATTTAAATTTTTTTCCATACCATTCCAAACCCCTCCAGCTATCTGGATTCCATCATTAGGTTGACTAGTGAGGTGGGGGGGCAGGGAGAGAGAAATACAACACTATTTTGGGAAAACCCTTATGCCACATTCTTTAATAACCCCAGTATCTAACTGTACCTTACCACATCATCCCCAATCTAATTTGAAACCTTCTCATTGGTCTTAGAGTCCTTGCCCAAGTTATAACTAAGGAAGATGATCATTATTAAGGGCACCTAAATATAAGCCTACATTTTTAGTCTGAAATGCTGATAACTTATATACCATATGTGTGTGGAGGTATTTATGTATCCTTTTACTGAAAAGTATTTGTTATTCAGTTTAAGATTCTGGAAATTTTGTTCCTTTTCCTATGTCTATTATTTCACCTATTATCTGGGTTTCCCACTTCCAGAAGTTACAGCTTCAGAGGACTAAGTGCTTGCATCTGAGATACGTGGGCAGGGAAGGTCTTGCTGAGTAAGAGGAACCAGGAGAGGGCAATGAGAGCACTGGAAGCACTTGGCACACTAACCTGGCACTTTGCCTTATCATCATGTTCTCTGTTATTCTGAACTTCTACCCACGTTAGTGACTGTGTTTCTTTACTCACTTTTTCCACTTGCATTTTAAATATAGGTGTTTACAAAGAATATTTACTTGACTATCCTTGCTCTCCTTCAAAACAATCCAACCTGAAGGGTCTGTCGACTTTTATAACTTGAAGTGTTCCCTCTACTTTGCTGATTTCTTGTCTACTGCCAAGAATGATTTCTGTTTATGTTACATTAGTATTCAAATTTTAAAATGTTTTGAATATTATTTTCTCAAATCCAAAAGAACTCATTGTGTATGACTCTCCACCTCTAACCTAAAGTCCATGTTATTTATTGACTAGCTGCTCGTTTGCCAAATGGCTTGTCATTTTCCCCATTCTACAGCTTCTTATCATATAAAGCATCATGAAGCATAGTCCTTTACTAAACATCTCCACTGACTGGAGGTTGATGGCCTTCTAATGTTCATCTTATCTGGCTTATGACTTTTTTTTCTTGTCTGAATTTTCACTATTTTCTGTTATTACCTGGTATTCTCTAAAACCCTAATGAAAAGCTTTCCATAATATCATATCTGTATCAGTTCTGTATCTCTAAGTATTTAGCACTGTACCTTATATGAGTAAAACAGAAACAGAAGTCCAGATCAGTAATAACAGAAACAGGAGAAAAAAGTTGCTAAACAGGGTATATCCATAAGGCCTTTACAAGATGTTTTTTGGTTATCAAAATGATCAAGGAATGCTGCTATTATTGTGTGTGCAATGGTTGGGGATGCTTCATGTTTTGAAATAAAAAGGATGGAAACACCCAGTAAAAAAACTGTCCCCATCTGTCACAATTCTGAATTGTCCTGTACAACTTTCATGCTGGCAAAACCCCTACTTATAATCTTCAAGAGTTTAGCACCACTTTACATATAAGAAAAAATAACTTTTTGCAGTTTTGACATACCATCTTTTTAAAAAATGCAAATTGTACTTTGTTTTTGGAAGTTTACCAACAGCTGCCCATTAGTCTAAAAAAAAAGTCTGTCAGAGAAACAATGCTCCTCATACTATTCAAAGCACCATATCTCATATGTAGTTCTTTTTCCCTCTCAATCTCTTTCTAGATTGGTATCTCCTCTTGCAGAAAACAAATTTTCCATGAAAACAGTAAAGCCTGCTACAGTAAAAACACTAAATTTAAAGCAACAAATGTCAATTAGCCTCGATGTGCAAAGTATAAAATTAGTATATGCTCTGCTCATCTTAGAGTCAGTATGAGAATCAAATTTATTAAAATGGATATGAAGTATCTTCCAAAATGTCAAGGACCGTATGTATTTTTTAATAAGAAACAAAATTATAAATAACAAGACTTCTGACTAGAAAAATGGGAAAAAATGGTCTTAAAAAGTCTTTGCCTCTGGGATGTTTATCAAATACTAATCTAATGTAGAAACCTAGTAACATACAAGATTAAAACATATGAATGCTTAATAAAATCAAACTCTAAACGTATTGTCTAATGCAGTACTTACACATACGGTGAAGAGTAAAATGCACACTAGGTTTAAAGACCTTATGACAAAAAGAATTATTAGAAATAATTTTACCTGTTTCACATACATTCCTAAAAGTGAGGACTTTTAATTTTATATTTTGCTTCCATTTAATTTGATTAAAAACTAACAGATAGCAACGTTAATCATCTTCAGCTAATCAGACAATAAAGAATGTATACTCACTTCATCAGTGAGTTCTCCAAATACTGTTATGACATCTATTAAAAGGCTTGCAGTATAGAAGGACTTGATCATGTTTCTGGAAGAAAAAAAAGAACTGGCCTAATTTAAATGAAAAACATTAGAAAGTATTAGTCATGTAGCTGTAAGAAAAAACTCAATGTTTTTAAGAGATTAATGTTTTAAATAAAATCAAACTTCAAGAATACAACTACACCTTTGCTAATACTATTAGTACAACATTCACATTATAAGTAAATGTACTAAAATTAGGTTAATTTTAGAAAATGCAATTAGAATTTTATCTGAATTAATCAACATCACTGGGCCAGCCTGTGATTTTGGGTAAAATCAGCTTGTTTATTTATTTATTTTTTAACGTTGCCAAATGGCTAATTAGAGTAAGCTTACTAGAAAATAAATCTGCCCTGGGAACCCAAAATTACTGAGAGTCTAAATAAAAAAAAGCCTAAATCATTATTCAGGAAGTCAGAAAGTATTCAACTGAAAATTACAAAGCTCTAGTCATACAGTAACCAACCTTGTAAAATAATTTTTGTTTTCCTCCTTGTTCACTTACTTGTGAAATCGCCCAGCACGGTCTTCATTGTCTGCATACAAAAACATTTTCAAAGCATAATTCTCCAAATGGGCAGAACCAACGATTTCTTGAGTAATAGCTTCATTATCACCCAACTGTTTCTTAAGCTAAAATAAAATCAAATACACAACTCATGATTTTGGATTCTCAGAAGGGCTAGCTTAGCACTAATAATCCTAATAATAATTTTAAATAAATTATTTTATATGTATTTCAATAAAAGACGCTACCAATGAAATTTTGCAAAAAATTGCTCCATCTCAGCCCAATGTATTTAAAACAAAATTCAACTTTTACAAAAGAAACAAATGCATGATAACCTAAAAGTGCAACTTTTAGAACTAAATGCAACTTAGCTTTAAAGACTAAAATAATTAAGAAAAAAAGACAATGTAATGTCACCATCCCTGTGAGGCACCAAAGTATTTCTAAATTATATTATCCCATCCACGATTAATTAGTCTAAAAACAGAATTAGAAAATTCGTTTCCAAGCACACATAATTTAAATTTTTAATTTACTCCCATATCAGTTTCTTTTATTAAATATTAAAAAAATAAGACTAGAAGAACCCACTGTGTCCTAAAGTAGCTCTCCAAGAACAATGTATAAGAGAGAGAGAAAGAGAGTTAACACTCAGTGAGGTAAAAATTGACAAACTCAGAATCAGATGATGGAAGCTTTTTAAATTAAGACAAGTATACCTCAAATTAACACAACTTACAACTATGTAAAATTTCAGTTTGTATAAACATTTACTCTGCATACAATAATTTAAAGTACTTAAAAACAATACAAATTTCTATTTTTTTCTTAGACTGTCATATTGGTGTAAGATGATTTTCTGGAATATCAGATTTAAGCATATTACTTAAAAATTGCCTTATTCAAAGATGTCACTAAGTGAAAAATTAAATTTCAAAAAAGGCCTGAAGGTTTTCTACAAAATCAGCAAAGCAAACACTCTCATAATTCAAACAGAATAATTTAAGGACCACAAGAGATTTAATGCTGGGATTTAAGAAAATTTTGGCTATGCTTATCCTAAACAAAACCAAAAATGTTCCCTCTAGCCTCTGTGTAATACTAGTTTACTACACTGAAACTGCAAAATAACTTGTAAAGGCAGATTTAATTCCAAATATATTTTAGTGGGAATATGCCATTTCATCTTTAATAGAAAATAGTTGGCAGAAAAATTCCTAATATATTTAAAGTTTTTAAACTGTAATACAAATATTATATCACAGACATAAGAGTCCTCACTGGGAATAAACTTGACCTACTTATACTTTAAACTCCCCATGAGTCACTTCATAAATGTAATTTTATGCTTCATTTATTATTAAAAATACTGCTTAAGTTTAGTCTTACCCAACTTTATCTTTACAACTATTTATTTTTATCTTAACAACTATTGTTATACTATGATATTAAGATATATTCTATATAAAATGTCTATAAGAGTTGGAATTTTACAAATACAATACCATGTATGAGAGACAATCTCCCTCCTGGATCAACACCCCACCCTAAAGACAATTCTCAAATTTATCTTGCATCCATAGAAGCATCATTAAAAATGGAGAACCAAAGAGACTCTGGGGGAAGCCTAATTCCCTTAGTGGTGCTACCAGGCTCACCTCTGGTGGGTAGCAGTGGCAGATGACAAGAACTCTGAGTTAGTAGGCCAGAGTGTCACAGAAAGTTAAAGAGAACACTACTAACTGTGGCTGCATAAGATAATTAGGCAGGGGAGTTCTATGTTGCAATAGAACTTGATCTGAATAATAAGTTTCCAATAATAAAGAAAAACAATGCAAACAACAAGAAAGTCTTGGGCTGGTAAGTATACATGTTTTGATTTTAACATGTCTAAATTTTGTTTTTCTAAGCAAAATAATGCAATGATTGAATGAACAGTTTCTCATGCTTCTAAGTAGGTCATTAGCAACAGAATAGAAAGCAATCCACAGTTAAGCAATCTACAGCCTCCCAGGAGACACATTAATGTGAAGTAGCCACTAACTTAAACATTAGAACAGAACCCTAATGACTAAGTAAGACTACTATTGCTGGCATTGCATTCTTTATGCTTTAACACCCAACCAAATACATTTTCCCTAAATAGCCATCTCCAGTGACCTGTGAAGCTCTATCATGTTCAAGAATGTGACTCAACAGTCATCCACCACAGTCCTGCTGGGACAGGAGGGTGCTTAGACTGTAAGAGCACCTTGTCTTGGACTAAGAAGGAACAACAGAGGATAAGCAATTGGTATGATTTCATTCATCATTCCTTTCATGAATTAAATAAGCCCATGTCATTATGATAAGAACTAGTTAAAAACTTCCAAATCAACCATCATGTGACTACATGAGGGAAAGTTAGAAAGCCTTTGTCGCTTATAAAAGGATAAGCCAAAAGCCATCTATGATAATGTGGAACAAGATATAATAGATATGCAAAGATACTTGAACCTACTTTAAACTTATAATTTCCTTGGTTGTATGGTGTAAACAAACAATAATGACTTTCTGAGTGCTGCCTAGGGAAAGAACTAAAATGACAGCACGCAAAGGCGCATACACACAAATAGTTAAATTTAAAAAAGGGGCATCTAAAACATAATCAGATAATAAATTATTAATGTTCAACTTACAGCTTCTAACTGATCCATTAGCTTTGATAAAAATTTACGACATTCAGGAGTTTTACTATCAATCTTCATTCCAGTTTGCATAGCATATAAACGACCTACAAGGAAAAGAAAAATAAGTGGACTTGAACAATTGTACTTAAATTTTTCTTTTAAATGACTGAATGTTTAAAACATGCTTTGTCTAATAAGTAATTTAAAATTTAAGTAAATTTTAAATAAAAATTTGATTTTAGTTTCAACAGGCCTCATTTTTCTATTTATATACAGGTGTATACAGTATTTGTACCATATTCACCCTCCTACAGCCTTTCCCCATATCCTCCCCCCTTCCACTGGTAGCAAACCCCCAGACAGGACCTGTTCTGCCTACCTGTTCTCTGATTTTGCAAAAGAAAAAACATGACATTGTTTATTTGTTTAAGATAGCTATATAAGGAGTTTCCTGTTGAAACTATCCCAAGAATGATATGAGGTGGGATAAAGGAGAATGATGGAGGGATGAATGATGTATTTAATATATTGTGAGGACTTCAGTAAATGCCACAATGTACCCCCAGCACAACAATAAAAAAAATTTCCTTAAGAGTGCAAGCAAATCTGGGTGTTTGTCCTCCCCAAAATTTTACATGAAACATAATAAAATTGACATAACATGGGAAAAAATTATTATCTAAAGAATTCAAGAAATCCATGATAACCCTTTTTACCAAGCAATGCCTTCCATTTTGGCATTATTTTAAAACAAAGCAACAAAGTCTAGGTAGGTCCTAAGCCATCAAAGGGACCAACAGAAACCTACAACTCAATTTAAAGATACTCAGAAAAACAACCATATATACAAGAGTACGTGCTAAGTGCTAGATAAGTGATACTTATAAAATACACCAAGTGGGCTGGGATGGTGGTGTGAAATGAGACTTGAACTTTGGTTTATAGGGGGAACAGTTTTAGTCATTTAGTAAATATAACCTGTCTGTAAAAGAGTTAATAAAAAAATCTGAGATAAAACTAAAGCTAAAGACTTCTTTGACAAACACCACATTTTCAATAGCTTTCTCAGTGCTAAGAGCTGGGAACAGTTTTAGTGGTAACTCTTAACACTGGTGTGTACATATAATGCATGCAACTTACCTTATATAAAGGCAACATGTCCTAAAGATCCCTGTCAGCTCTAGTGTTTCCACAGTGTGTATGTATTTTTCCACCTAAAGTACATCTAAGTGTTTTCAAATTTTCATTTTTTACAAATGTTTTTCATCGTTACAAATTCCATGGGTGTACATGCAAGAAGAGTTCTCTGGGCTAAAGAAAGTTGGAATTCCTGAGTCCTGGTATATGTGCCTTTTTCATTTTCTGAGCTACTTTCTTGTTTTTTTCCAGTACTGGAGATCGAACAACTCAGGGCCACAGCTACACCCCAGTTCTTTTGCTTTTAGTTTGTTTTTTAGACAAGGTCTTATGCTAATTTTGCCCAGGACCATGATCCATCTACTTCTGCCTCCCCAGTAGCTGGGATTATAGGTATGAGGTACCATGCATGGCCCTTTGTCAGCTATTTTTAAATTGTCCTTCAAAATATAGTTTTATCTATAATATATGCAGGATACTCATTTTTCCCTGGACTTACCAAAAATTAACTTTAAACACAAACTCCTGTCAATCTGAGAACTGAAAACAGTATCTCGCTGTTTGAATTTGCATTTTCCCGACTACTAAAAAGGTATTACACTATATTCTCCCTTAAAAATTATGAGCGCTACCGATATTTTAAAAAAATCCTGCCAAATTTGTTTTCTTTTTAACAAAGTGACCTGTGAATTTTTTTTTTTTGCCCCAGTACTGGGGATTAAATCCAGGGCCTCTCACATGCTAGGCAAGTACCCTACCACTGAGTTACACCTCCAGCCTACAAAAATTCTTTACCAAGCTATGAAGAGAGATATATTCTTCCCCTACCCAGTAAAATCTTGTGAAACTATCCCCCATCTCTGCTTTACTTTTTTTCTTACAATGCAATCATCTATTTCGTTATCATCAGGAACTACCTCAACTAGAGATCCGTAATGGGGATTTTAGTCTACTTCCTTTGCTGACATCTTAGTGAATGGGTGGCCTTCTTCAATAAAACATTTTCTGAATATATAAATACATAAATGAAAGAAAAGGTCATTCTGCCCCATTGATTTAAATGTCACTTATAGCATTCATTATCACATAGTATGTTTCCATGGGATAAAAGAGCCCAATTTTGTACTCTGAGATATTAGTGTATAGTGCATTGCTGTTTAATTTACTAGTGCTTTATAACGGGACTTAAGAGTATGTTAGTTACTCTTCAGATTTCCAATCCAATCATGTCTACCTGACAAAATTCTCTGAAATATATTAATGTATCCATGATCTAATCACTTATTTATTGTACCTGTTTTTTAATTTTAGTGATTTTATCTGATGGAAATACTTTTTAAAAATTTTATTAGCATATTAATAGTTTTACAGGGGGATATATGAAAATACATATGGTATTACATATGTGCTTACAATATATCTTAATTAGATTCACCCCTTCTATTGTTCTCTTCCCTCCTTCCCTCCCTTTCTTAGAACAATTCCAAATGGTTTCATTATTCTGTTTTCCTATATGAATAAAAAATACATCTACCACATTCACCCCTATTCACCCTTCCTTATGCTGTCCCCTTTCCCACTGATACTCATCCCTGGACAGACCTGCTTTACCTTTCTGTCCTTCATTTTCTTATAGTGTATATTGATAGTCTAAGTGGGTGTCACCCTGGAATTTCAGACATGTATATATTGCACTTTAATCAGATTAACCCCCGTTACTTATCTTTTATCACACTGCTCCCCTATTACTCAACAGCATACAGGGCATGATGTTGTATTAGCTTCATATATTAGATGACATATTTCAATATTTTTCATTCTCTAACAGTCTCGTTCCTTCTCCTGCCTCCTATAGTTGTGAAGGAAATACTTTTTTTAATACTTGGACTTTTAGGGCTACCTCATGTTATAGACCTTGAAGATAAATTAAAATATTTACTTCTTCACATTATATTTAAGGATTTAATCCACCTACGTATTAAAAAGAGAAAAAATGGAGTTTCAAAAATGCTGTGCAATTTACACAATGCACACTAGTCAGCAATGAAGATCTTGGACACACAAATAGGTGGTAACTTGAGGAAAACAAAAAGCACCTTATTTCATTTAAGTATCCAATGCTTTGGTCACAAATGTAACTTACACTTTCTGTCTTTTATTTCTTTTTCTGCCTCTCTTTGAGGTATTAGGGATTGCACCGAGGACCTCAACCATGCTAGGCAAGTGCTCTACCACTTGAGCCATAACCCCTAGCTCTTTTTTTTTTTAACTAGCTATATTCTTTAACAAGTTGTCTAGTTCTTTTTCAAATCTGACTATGCTAGGTTTTAATCAGTTGCCCTGACTCCCATTAAAGTATGGTTGAACACTTTCTCCCTTTCAAACCACTTGTATTTCTTTTGGGTGCTTAAGTTCTGTGCCACTCTTTGCTTTTTAGTTACAACTGAGGGAACTCTTAGACCACTGGGTTGTCCATGTCTGTTCCTCCAGTGTTTGTGCTGCATGTTTTTAACACGTAGCACATGAACTCTATACAATAAACAATTTTTAAATTTTGGAATGTTGTTTCAAAATAAAGAGACTTAAAATTTGTGGAATCCCTTCCCCCAAATCAAATCTAAGTTTTGGAAGTTCTTTTATCTCAAGACTTAATAGCTGGTTTCATTATTTTTACGTTTTTTCATGTGGTTTAGATTTTCAAATACAACCCTAATCTTATTTGCATTTCTCCACAAGTTATAGGCATCTGTTTAAAAATCACTTAAATAATCCTTCCTTTCTTTAATGATTCGTGGTTCCTTCTTGAATATATTTTCACTTTTTATGTTTCCTGGTTATTTGATTTTGCTGAGATTCCAGATCTTGTCACCTCTTTACATGATAATACCTATAAATGATAATATGCTTTTTCTTCTTCCAAATTTAATCTTACTATGTCTTACCGTATTGCCAAAATTTTCTGAAGATATTAAGTGTCTTTGCTTTTATTTTTAAGAGGAAGGCTTCTAGTGGAGTAGGACCAATGCCATGCCAGGTTCCATGCCTGATTGCTCACATTTTTCCTGAGAGAGTCCTCCTCACCCTCAACTATATTAAAGCCCAGGCTTTTGAGACCCATATGACCCCAGGGAACAGAGAAACAACTGGCAGGAGTGTGGAAAGAAAATATTAGTATTTCTATTGATATATTTTTATCTCATTTTTCTAAAATTTGTTTTTATGTATCTCTTATAGACATATATTTATACATTAATAAATTATAAGTAATGTATACAATATAAATGATAAATAATGTATACAATATATTGGAGATTGGTGTTCATATTTTTTAACTCATATGGATAGGTGATCAAAAAATCAAGGATCACTGCTCTACTTTATCCTCTTACTTATGAACTATATTTTCTTGCCCCAGTGCAGCCCAGGCCTCATCTCTACATTCTTATCCCTCCTACCCAAATCCCCTGGAACCCCTTCTTCAAAATCAGTATACTGCCAACGTTTCCTCAGATCTCCTTTCTTGTCTTAACTGAAACCTGATGCCACTGAAGAAATCATTTCTAGTTGCGGTCTTGCAGTCCTCTTGATTCTTTTTTAAAAAATATCTCACAATCCTTCTATCTTAGAATTGCCAAGTTTTCCTCCTTGCATCTCATTTGTTACCTGTATTTCAGCATTTCCTTAATGTCTTCTCAACACTCTAGGAGGCTCATGCTACCCACTGCTATACAAGCTTATTATGCTTGTTCTTCTATCACCTTTTTGAAAACCTCATTGCTCACATGGATAATCAATACTGCAGCAGAGAACGCTAGTTGCCTTCCCACAGTCATCCTTACATCTTTACCAAGAAGAAGCACACATGTAGCTAAAAGAATAAATTTCTCAGTATTCTTCAAAGCAAAATATGGCCATGTAGCTAAGACTAATTTCATATAACCAGAAATTACTGGGAGAGGATTCTGTA